ATGTTGCAGTTTTATGCGAAGGTGTTAAATTAACTTTAAATCTTGTATTTAAATTATGAACGTCAGTTCGGAATCTGATTTTATTGTACAAATATTGGGGGGATTTAAAATGATAGTCATAAAGAGAGTAGCACTGTGATGTAGACGAGTGTTTTTCATATCCAACCATTTTGTATTCATTAGCGTGTGTCTTACTCGATTTCGCTTTCTAATACCATATACAGGGTGTCCGGTAAGTACCTCCTAATCTGTCGGGAGTGTATAGGGGAGGTCAAAATAAAACTAGTCCTTCCTATAATTTTTTTTCCTAATGTGCCCCCTAACGGAGTTATGGGGGGTCAAAGGGGTACCTAGAAATTAACGTTTAGGGTTATAACTTTGAAACCACCCTGTATATTTTAATAAAATTTTCGTACGTTGTATTACACATGGAGCTCTACGATTTGATGCTAAAATCAACTTTTTGCTATTATCAGGTGTCCAGAAACGGACTGGCCCTATCACAATTTTTCTCAAAATTTTGACAGAAGTAATTTTATCAAACTGAAAATATTATTATTAGATACTCTGAAGGTTTTTCTTTAAAAATGGTACTCTTTATTTATTTCGAAAAAATGAACGGTTTGCGAGATAAATCGGTTTTGAAAAAAATTGGTAACAAAAACAACAATTAAAATTTATTTTTTTTACATATTATTTCATGCATTTAATTTCTTTAACTTTATCAAGTCCAGAAATCTTTGAACGGGTTGGCTATACTTTATGAGCAAGTAGTGACCAATTAAAAATAACATTTGAAAAATAACTTACTTACAAGACATGCAACAAAGAACATTCAACAATGAACAAAGGTACCTAAATGTTACTTCGGTAGATGTTCAAAATGAGCACCCCGTACTTCAATGCACTTTCTAATCCTACGAATGTTTTCCCGGTGCACTTGAAATAATATTCCGTGATTATTGCGGAGATGGTCACAGTTCTGTGTTAGCCTCAGCAGAAGTTCCTCTCTACTATTTACGGGTGTTGAATAAACGTTATTTTTTAAATGACCCCACAGAAAAAAGTCTAATGGGTTTAGGTCGGGCGACCTAGGTGGCCATAATACAGGTCCGCCTCGACCTATCCATCGATCACCAAAAACATTCGTCAGATGTTGACGTACTAAACGATCAAAGTGGGGTGGTGCACCGTCATGCATGTACCACATTTCAGTTCTTATTTGAAGGGGCACTTCTTCTAACAAAATATTTAGATTTTCCTCTAAAAATTGCAAATAAAGAGCACCATTAAGTCTTTGCTCCAGAATAAATGGACCAATCAAATGATTCCCGATAATGCCAGCCCACACATTCACCATAAACCTTTGTTGGTAGCGAGTTTGAACTAAAGCGTGAGGGTTTTCTTCATCCCAGACATGTAGATTATGCGAATTAATTATGCCGTCTCTTGTAAAACCTGCTTCATCGGTGAACAAAATAGATGTACCAAAATTATGATTCCGAATATGATGCTGTAAAAACCAATTGGCGTATTGAAGTCTTTTTGGATAATCATCTGGAGACATAGCATGTACTTTTTGGATGTGGTACGGGTAAAGCAATTGTTCTTTCAGAGTTTCATGTACAGCCCATTTTGTAACATTGTTTTGCGCCGCAAGCTTCCTTATGCTATTTGAAGGATTATTAGCAACGTCTTCCAATATTTGTTCCTCTACATGAGGGTCTCGTACTCTCCTCGGGGCTCCTGCTCCACCACGGCGTGGCAAAAAGCTTCCTAAATAAAGGATTCGGAAGAAATTAGTTTCACTAACGTTTTTCACTATTTTTTTTTACCTGTTTCTCTTAAACTACGATCAACTCTTTCAAAAGTTTTTGGACTCGGCAAATGTCGACCCGGAAACCTTTCCTCATAAAGTCTTCTTGCCTCCACGGAGTTGCATAATGCTTCCCCATAAATTAGGTGCATATCAGCATATTCTGCACAGGAATATTCTTCCATTTTTAAATGTTATTTCTAACGGCTTAAAACGAATACCACAATAAAATTGAATTTTTATTCTGTCACGCGCCTTTGACAAGTACTTTAAAATCAACAGGGTCTAACAACGAAAACAATAGAAAAGAACTCCATGGAGACAAGAGCAATAATAATTTGTAGATGTATTTTGGTCATAGATGTTGATTTTACAAGAAACGGCATTATTCATTCCCTTAATTCACCACCAGTAAATGTTTATGGTGAATCTGTAGGCTGGCACTAGCGGGAATGATTTTATTGTAAAAAAATAAATTTTAATTGTTGTTGTATTTGTTACCAATTTTTTTCAAAACCGATTTATCTCGCAAACCGTTCATTTTTTCGAAATAAATAAAGAGTACCATTTTTAAAGAAAAACCTTCAGAGTATCTAATAATAATATTTTCAGTTTGATAAAATTACTTCTGTCAAAATTTTGAGAAAAATTGTTGTGATAGGGCCAGTCCGTTTCTGGACACCTGATAATAGCAAAAAGTTGATTTTAGCATCAAATCGTAGACATCGTGTAATACAACGTACGAAAATTTTATTAAAATATACAGGTTGGTTTCAAAGTTATAACCCTAAACGTTAATTTCTAGGTACCCCTTTGACTCCCCATAACTCCGTTAGGGGGCACATTAGGAAAAAAAATTATAGGGAGGACTAGTTTTACTTTGACCTCCCCTATACACTCCCGAGAGATTAGGAGGTACTTACCGGACACCCTGTATAAATCTAAGGCAGTAATTTTGAATTTTCTGAATTCGTTGAGATGTCGCCTGAGCTAAACATGGACCATAAACAGTATCACCGTAATTAAACACAGATAAAACCAAAAGACTGGCAAAGTAAAATTTTTAGTGTTTCACTTAAGATATGTCTGGATTTGTATAATATTTTTAAATTAATACTGGATTTTTTTACACAGTTTGATATATGCTTATTGAATCTAAGATCGCTATCAATAGTAAGACCCAAAACTTTAACTTCATTTTTAACTTCTAACTGAACATTATCAACAGTTATATTAACCTCGGGTAATAGTTGGGCATATTTCACCCGACTAGCAAAAAGTATAGTAACACATTTTGTGGGGTTTGAACGCAAAGAGTGCTCCAGTGAAATTCGAAGTGTTTCGAGTTCACTATTAATTATAATACAGCTGTTTCGAATATCATTAGGATGAAACGAATAGAATAGTTGAGTATCATCTTCATACATTTGAATTTTACAGTGCTTTAGACAATTAGGGAACGAGGATGTATACAATGAGAACAACGTAGGTCCCAATACGGATCCTTGAGGCACTCCACGATTAGTATTAATATAATTCGAAATATCGTTTTTAAGTACTACCCTTTGTTGTCTACCTACTAAATAGTTAGAAATAAATTGTACTGCAGATATATCAAAACCGGCAAACATTAAAATATTTTCCAAAATATAATGACTAATTGTGTCAAATGCTTTCGAATAGTCGAGTAAAACTAAAATCGAACATAATCCAGAATCTGTAGCCCTAAAAATATGATCTGTGACATTTAATAAAGCAGTAGAACAACTATGTCTCTCTCGAAAACCATACTGTTCAATAGGCAATATGTTATTAATAGTTAAATGATTCATAATTTGATCATTTACAATATACATTTTATATACTTAATACTTATACCACGTCGTGGGTAAATTTATTTTCACAATTTACTGTTACAAAAAAATTCACGGGTGGATATTATATGTTAATTCCGGTTTTAGAAAAATGGTCGCTATTGTCAGGGAAACAATGAGTGTAATTAAGTAATTACTAAAATTATGAAGAAATATCCCACTTTTTGCTGCAATAAATAGCTTATTTCGTTATTAATAAATACATGTAAATGTGTATTCACAAGACGACTTCATCTCTACAAGTATTATAAAATATTCCAAAGTCTTAGGCAATAGAGTTTTTATGTTAATATAATTCTGTACCTGTACTTACGTTTCAAACACGTATGTTTATTAAGTTAAGTAACAGCCGACAGAAACTCAATAATTAACTTCTTGCTTAAACATTATTCATAATCTGCTATTAAAACCACGACAAATATTTCATATTATGTTACTGGCAAGATATTTTGATAAATGAGTTTGTTTTAATACCATACAACAACATGTCAGAACAAATAGAATACTCTTGACATTGGGATTTGCTTCCACATTATACTTAACAGGAATTGATATCCACACCTTATTCTGTTTTTTTATCCTTACTCTCTCTCATTCTTTTCCTATTTCTCTTGTACTTTTCCAGGTCTTTTAGTAAATTTTCTTTCAAAAAATGGGTATTAGTTCAAAGTCCTGAATTCGTTATTAGGTTATTAGGTTAGGTTATTAGGTTATTAGAAATTTGTTGATATGCTCTTAATCTTTAAACTTAAATGTCTAAAACGTGTTGATATTTCTTCATTATTGTTTTAAAATCAGGAATCTCACCCAAAACCGTTCAACACAAGAATATAGTATTTGTTACAAAAATAATATAAGATTTATAGCCAAAATTATAACGATGATCAACGAGTTTCAATAAGACAAAACAGAATTTAAAAAGTATATGTACCTAAACAAGAGTAATCCAAATGTTAATAGACTAATATGCATAAATTTAATAATTCTTATATTTTCCATGCATTATTGTAAAATGTGCCTATATGAAAGCACTGAATATTAATTATTAAAAATGGATAAGAAATCGAATTCACAATGATTAATGAAATGTGAAGTAATAAATAAATTCCGTTTTCATAATAAGCGAGAATAATTTTATTCATGAATTCAAAACAGTAAATAAAACAAACAACGCAATGTTTTCATACACCTGCAGTTTTATTTAACAGTTATTTAATAATAGACCAAGAACAACAGATACAGATATCATACGTTATAACATACTTTGTGTTAAAAAGAATCTTTTCTATATCTTTCTTTTTTTTTTTCAGTGGTTGCCACTCCTTTTATGTGGAGCTGTATTCCTATGTGAAACAGAAGCTAGAAGGATCCGCGTGGAACGTCCAATAGAAGAAGAAGAGGAGCAAGAATCCGTCAACTACTATGCCGCAGAACCCCAAGAAAATCAAAGACGGGTAGTTTTAGTCTCATCCGCAGACCAGTATAACGGCCTCTATGGTCAGCCTACTGCGGCCTCTAGAAGTGGACAGGATAACTACATTTCTAGAGGATCTGTCAAATCACACGAATCTACGAGAAGCAAAGAGGCCGCAAGGGCGCCTCCTGTGCAAACCATCAGAAACTACAACAAGGTGAACGATGACGGTTCATTTACTTTTGGTTATGAAGCTGCTGATGGTAGTTTCAAGGAAGAGACCAGAGGTAAGTCATTAAGAACGAAAACGGGTAATCTTTTAATGATGTTCTTTTGACCTATTAACTATACAATAAATCAAGTGACAAGCTTTAAATGACTTCAAACGACAAATGAATGACATAATTGTTTTGACGCCTATCTACCAATACGTTTTAATTGTGGATGAGTAGAACCTATAAAGTGTATTTATACTTTAAATGTCACTGTTGTTCAGTTCCTACTAACTGGGTATTACTTAGTTCCATTCAATGTCCGTGTTTGTCTTATGTTCTCCAATTGATCATTTCTCTGCGTTATTATTCTTTAGGAGATATTGTACTTCTTTGTCCTCGTGATAGACTGCTTCCTGTTTGTTCAGTATATACTTTGCCACATGTGAACACTATACAAGTAAAAGAATTTAGGAAGTACACAGAAACACCAGAATAATAAAACACCACCTTCTTTTCGATCAAAGAGTGTTTTTGACGTTTTTATAAGCCAGTAGGATCTTCATCAGTCTGACGCTGGATGTCAATTGCATAAACTGATGATTTTGACATCTTCTCAAATAAGACTTGATTTAGGAGGTTTTGGTGCTAGATGCTGGATCGTGGGTTTCAGTGTGCTAATGATTTTGGAATCATCTAGTGCGAAATTTAGTCCTCTGGCATAGTAGCAAGTCCACTCGTAGCGTCTTCATCTAGTCCTATAGAAGTTAGGGTGATGATGACACGGAATTTGTCCAACGTTCAAAGTTTGAGATATTTCTCGAGAAGTGACTTTTCAGTTTTCTTTCCCTTCCCTATTGCAACCTCTTTCAGATAAAAAGCTTTGTCTATAGATAGTCTGTCCATTACATCCCAATCTCAGGTCTCAGGTTACTTCGTTGATAAGATGGAAATATACTTTTATAAGATTCTTTCAATTTTTCTCTATTTATTGTCAATTATTTACTACCTCGTATCCATGAGTTTGACAAAATTAACTTCTTTAACAGTTATTAAATTCATTTAAATATTTTCCAAAAAATTATTCAGAAAATAATCTTATATGGAACTATACAGGCTGTTACAAATTCGCTTCTCACTACAGGGATCTCAGAAGTACAGTAAGCCGTACGAAGTAGCTTAAATGGGGGGTAAAGTGCGTAATCAGAGGACCAACATTATGCCTCTAAAAAATCAAGGCTAACATGATTAGTTTTTGAAATATTTGAAAAAAAAAAACCGAAATTTTGGAAATCTGTTTTTGTTTCATTTCAGCCCTGTTTGAGGTAATATTGAAAAAAGAAGAACACTTTCTCATGACCACTTCTTGCCCTCTCTCGAATGGCAAAATCAGTTTTTATATGTAACGTTTCGTCTCTCCAGGATCATCATCAACTTCATTTTTTGAAATACGGCCCTAGAAATATTAAATTTTTTGCAAGCCTTCATGGCCCCCAATACTGTACTGCCTCAGCCCGAACCAGATTCAGACGTTTTGTAGCGAAAAATTCATCTTCAGTGTATTGGTTCCAAATTTATCTAAATTTTTTATTTAAATTTCTTTGTTTATTGAATTATCGTACACTATAAGTGTCGTTAGACCCTGTGACATCCATCTAGTTATTTAAACTAATACCTACCACCACGCGTTACAATAAAACCTGTATTATTATTAACTATTACCATCACTCAATAAGTTATTGCGACAAAATTAAAACATTATTTTTTTTATGACAAATTAATTCTTAAAAATGTTCAAAAATATTTTCGTTTTGGCAAAGGTTGAAAATGAAGATCTGCGTAATCACCGCAACTGTGAAGGAGCATGTCAGATGTATTTGTATGATTGTTCTGAAAAAAATAGATCGGAATTTGTTTGAATTTTGAGCACTCGAGAAGCCTAGAAATAACTATGGACACGGGAATAAAACTGTAACAATGTTTTATTTTGATGCATGGTAGTAATAGTTTAAATAAGTACTTAGTGGATTTCACAGAGTCTAACGACACTTACAGTGTACCATAATTCAATAAACAAAGAAATCTAAATAAAAAATTTAAATTAATTTGGAACGAATGCACTGAAGATGAATTTTTCGAGACAAAACGTCTGAATCTGGTTCGGGCTGAGGCAGTACAGTATTAGGGGCAGTGAAGGCTTGCAAAGATGTAATAAAATTTCTAGGGTCGTATTTAAAAAAAAATGAAGTTGATGATGGTCCTGGAAAGACGAAACGTTACATATAAATACTGATTATGTCATTCGATAGAGGGCAAAAAGTGGCCATGAGAAAGTGTCTTTTGAAAGTTCTTTTTTCAATATCACCTCAAGCAAGACTAAAATTAAAAAAAACGGAATTCCAAAATTTCGTTTTTTTTCAAATATTTCGAAAACTAATTATGTTAGCCTTTATTTTTTAGAGGCATAATGTTGGTCCCCTGATTACGCAACTTTGCCACCAATTAAGCTACTTCGTACCTCTTACCGTTTCCGAGATCCCTGTAATGAGAAGCGAATTTGTAACAGCCTGTATAGAATGTCAAAATTACATTATGTATTTTCGCCAGCTATGTATTTTCTTTTTTGATTTAAGGAATTTGTTACTATATTTTTCTTTATATACTGCCATAATAAAAATAATTTAAGAATGTCGTTATAGATTGAATTTTTTTCATTATCTAACGAAGTTTCTAGTGGTACTTTTGATTGTTTACCTTTAATTTAATAAAACCTATTGAAACCTACAGTTGATACTACATCTCTATCGCTTGAATGTTTATAATTCCCAGAAAAATTGTATTTACAAATTGTAGTTTTCTTATTTTAACTCGCTTCGAACTATCGTCCTTGAATAATTGCTGTATCTATCTCATTAAGTTTATCTAAATTATTGCAAAAACCACTATAATAATCGAATAACAATCTGAAGTTGCTATTTCCTCCTAGTACTATTATTATATTTCTACAATATCCTGTTTCAGATGCAAATATCTGAATACATGTGTAGATACTGAGTGAGTCACCTAGAATTTATAATTGAATTAATCGTTATAAGGCAAGTGGTATATTTTTTGTATTTAGTTGGAACAGATTCCGTGCTAAAAATAAATATACGTAGCGTTCTTGATGAAATAATTAACGGGTAGCTATTTCCATTTTCTTTCTACATCTAGGGGGCTGGGTATTTACAACAATAAGAGTACAATGCACATGGTGGTACGAGAGTGATCTCGTTTAGATCTAGTATTGCTAACATGGATTATTTATGCTTCGAAGACTAGATCAGATATTTTTATACATTACATATCAAAATTATAAAATATCAGTGTAAATAAATTTATACAAGGACGATTTTAATTTTAATAACACTTGTTATTGATATTATCAGTATTATGCAAGAATTTATTTTAAGCGGGAGTTCTTGTATGTTTAGCTGTTAACGGAGTTCTTAACATTATTGTGGGAAATGATATATCCGAGTCTGTAAAAGAAAATTTTCTGCGACATTAAATAATTATTTTATGGCAGCTGGATCTCTAAGGCTCCTAGCTTTGATCCCCCTGATTAATTCTAATTCAAGTGTTGTTATACAAAATGAGAGAATTGCACTTGCAAAATTTGAAGTATACGTATTGAAGATATTGCGTTTAAAATCAATTAGATCTCAGTTTATCCTTCAATATTCTCTAGTCTGAGTTGACAGAAGTCGCACATCTATTTCCTATTAATTTTCAGTGTCTGTTTTACAAATATACTACTCCAATTTTAGGTACTGATTGTGTAGTCAGAGGGAAATACGGATACATCGATCCTGATGGCAACAAAAGAGAATTCACTTACGTATCTGGTAACCCTTGCGACCCCAACGCTCCCAAAGATCAAGACGAATCCCCAGAAGAAAGCAACGAAGCCGAAGCCGACAGTGGCCCAGCGAACTACCCTAGCCGACCCATCCAGCCGATCCGAAGACCCGCAGTCGAATCTAAACCAGCCATAACCCTATTCCAGAACAACTATGCACGGGAAGAAGAACAGCCTGAAGAGCAACTTTTGAGGGCAACACCTCAGGTAAGAATTTATTGTTTAGTATTGGTCTCAATCTAATTGTAAAATTTGTCTTTTGGTTGACCAAAGTCATAATGTTCATTGAAAATGGTATCAGATAAGTAGTTTCAATAATTGTACTAAAAGGTTACTAGTTAGTTAAAGATTTAAAAGTGTTTAAGTAGGCCACCAATACAGAAAGTTAAGGACGGTTTAAATTTGTTTGGAAAGAAACCTATCTTTGCATTAAGTTTTCTTAAAAACATTGCGCCGTTTTACATTGCATTAATATCTATTATAAAACATGTCGACAGGGTTTTTGAAATGGGAGATCAACGTACTTGATTACGAGTAGGTACTTACATTTACTTTCTTAAAAATTATCTTGAAAATATGTTCTAGGTATAGAAACAATCTTGTAAGAAATATAAATGAAAATAAAGAACTACAATGCTGGTGAATATATTAGAATATTAATAAGAAAAATATATATATTCCATAACGTAAACTATTTAAAAAATACATTCAGAAAAAATGCTCTTATGAATGAAAAGTAAGTGAAAGATTAACTATTGGCAAAAAAATTTAAAATTAATGAAAAAGTGAACCTCAACCACTCATATTTCCTAGTTACTTTGACATCACTGTATGAACTCAAAATATTAAAAAATAAACTGGTTATAATGCCTTTCTTTCAAAATATCACCACGGATAGAGATGCTTGAAGTTTAAAAACTTGATACTTCACAATTTGCAAATCAAGCGGCTTGTACATATTTTTGCTTGAGCTTAATAATTAGTAAAACTACTTTAATTTTTTTCATAAATGCTAAATTGTTGAGTAGATGAAATCCCAGTGGAGAAAGCAAATAGTAGCTTGTTAATATTTTTATATTTCCTTTAAAACATTATAAATTCTGTTTTATTTGTTTCTGTAATCTAGAAACCTTCTCGACTACCTCTAATTAAATTTGCAACAATCCTTACCAAAAATATTCTATTGCGAAAACATATTTCTTCTGTTATTAACACGAACAATGATGTTATATGCTACATATTACATTTCTTCTCAGATGTTACTACTGCAAAATACCATGTTGTTTAAAATTAGGAAATAATTAGATATACCAATATTGCAAATGTTCTCGTTATGAAATATGAGCTGATCACTTTTTCCCAAGTGATAATACCTTTCTGTTGGGACTAGAAATACAATAGGTAGTTCACAAGTTTTAAGAAATCGAAATGAAAATATATGTTTCGCAATTTTTGTAAAAATACATAAATATTTGTCCACTTCTATGTATTTTTATTTAATAATTTTCAGTAAATACGTTCAAATATCCATCTCGACAATTTTACTATATACAGTGTGGCCGTTTTAAATATAAACACTTATAAAAGAGGTATTTATTTCCCGAATTAATGTCACATGAGACTTGAATTTTATTTCCAGTTATCAAAGCCTACTTATTATTGTTTCTTCGTTGTCAAATCTGTCAAAAATTAGTTAGCAACTTTTTCAAATAAAATTTGATTATTGTACTGGATACCAAATCAAATTTCTTAAAGAATATTCATTATTAAATGAAAAACTATTATTAATATTTTATGTTATTTTTTTCGCATATCTTGTTTAATTTTAAAGAGGATTTTTTTTTAGATGTAGAGCTTCATGAATTGTGTTTTGTGAAAGAAAATGAGCGTAATCCCACAAAATCCAAGGTGTTACTACCTCCGTTTTTAGGAGTAAGATTCTAATATTTCATATTAGCTATTTCTTGAGAAAATATATATATTTACGCCACTGGTTTTAAGCCCCACCCCCACTCAAAAAAAAACAGGCCAATATCGAATTTTATCAAAAAATTTTAAATAATAATTTTGCCAAATCTAAAATTCACAAATCTTTGCTTTTTTTCATCAATTTATTGTATGAAACAAAACAAAAACCAAAAAATTAAATTAACTAAGCTCTAGTAATGTGGTATTACAATTATTAATAATGTTAGTTTTGACAAATTTAAAAATAATGAAACTGAAACAAAATTTAAATAATTATATTCGTGTTACTTCTATCAATCCACCATTTACTTCTATGCACTTCTCAGTTCTATTACGGACGTTCGTAATTACTTTTCGTATTTGATTTGAGGTAATTTCTACACAGGCTTACATTATCCTAGGACGTAGTTCGTGTACAGTTTGTGGCCTTGATTTATAAACTTTTTGTTTCAATAAACCCTGCAGAAAAATATCTGATGGCGTCAAGTCCGGGAATCTCGGCGGCCACTCAATTAAAGGACTATTTCGTCCTATCCAACAATTCACAAAATGTTCGTTTAACCATTCCCTCCCTGCAGCAGCATTATGAATAGGGCTACAATCTAATTGAAACTTCAGATTAAAGATATTTCTTAAAGGCAAATAATCTATTTGCATTCAAATTGTCGTCAAAAAAGAAAGGACCCATTATTCTATTATTTAGTATTCCACACCAAACGTTAATTTTTTGCGAATATAATGAATTCTTGATTCTCAGCTCACCAGTGACAACAATTTTGGTACGAAACTACCCCATTTGTAGTGAATGTGGAAATAAAATTTCACTTAAAAATTTAGGATTATTTAAATATTCTCCCTGTAGTCAATAAAGAAAACACCGGGACTGTATTCTTGAATCTCTCTCTCTCTACTAAAACTCATTAATCGGTATTCTTGAATGGTGTTCTATTGAGTAATGATGAGTAATGATAGGAGAATTGTTCCCTATTTCTTCTACTAATATTTTCGAGGGAATAGGCAGGGATCATTAAACTTAACCCTATATTTTTTGACATGTTTCACAAATTACAAATTTCGCAATATGTCTGTAATATCTCTAGTTACTGTTTTGTGGTAATATCCTTCGACTTTGAGGAAACGTTCGTATACTTAAAGGATTGTACAATACACGAATAAATTAATAATAGAATAAAATGGATCTGCCTAATATAGTATTAAAGTATTTGTAAGTTCTTCCCAGTTAGCCCTCATTTTCTCTCTAGTGTAGCTGGGTGTTAACTTTCCAGTATACATTTGTTTTTTACCTTCAATATATTCTATTAGAAGTCTTTTTATTTAGAACTTACTGAATTTAGCATCGGTTTTTTATTAATTTTCATATTCTTTCCTTTTTAGACTGCACCTGACACTGACAGACACATAACAATAACTCTAAATAAAGTAGTACTTATTTCATGACTAGCTCATCATTAGTTTTCATTCTACCGCCTATTTCCTGCGTTCTAATTGGTCGGTACATTTGACAACATTGTTCCTCGTTTTTCACTTTCATGGCTCGATCCCTTTGTGTCGATAATCCAGCATGAATTTTGTGATAGAACAGTAGTAGAGCGAAGTGAGGGAACGTTACCCAGGGAGGGAACTATTCTTTCACCGTCAAGAATCGAGCTCCAAAAACGTCTTTCTTCATTTCCCAATTCCAAAGTATTGACAAATTTGGGTTTAAAAACTTTTATTTTATTTTTTGCCAGGCACCTTCTGATATTTTCTTTAGGGATATTAAGATTTAAACTAGCCTCTCTAATACTAGCCCGGGGATTATTATTAAAATATTGTATAATTTGGTTATTATATCTCAAAATTCTACGACGTCCATTATGTCCAGTTTTAAGTACATTTGTTGAAACACAGCCTGTTTCATTGAAAATTTTATTAATATACTGTACACTAATTCAACTTACTCGTCTGTCTGGGTGCCTAGTATTAAATTCTATTGCAACATTTCTTGCGGAACGTACATTATCGCCAATAAGTCGTACAATTTATATTTTGTCTCTTAATGATATATTTTCCGTGGTTATTAACACGAGATAAACTTTACCACACACTAATTCGTTACTTTTGACAATTATCTAACTACCTCATTTTTTGTTTTCCTTCACTTGATATCAACAATAAATAAATGAAAAAAAGTAAAGACTTTGACTGTGAATTTTTGATTTGCCAACAAAATCGCTGTTATTTAAAATTTTTTGAGAAAATTTGGTATTGGTCCGTTCTGGCGGGTCCTGAATCCAGTGGCGTAAATATATTTTTTCTCAAAAAATCCCTAATATGAAATATTATAATTTTACTCCTAAAAACGGAGTAATACCCTTTGGATTTCGTGAGATCACACTAATTTTCTTTCACAAAGCACACTCCATCCGCGATTAAAATTGCACCATAAATAAAGATTTTACAGGATGGTTTAAAAACAAATGGGTCACACTATATTCTGTTACACCCAATATTGACCTCATTGATGACTGACCTCATTGATTACAATATACAGTCATTCAGAACTTATACAAAAAAAATTCTGGATATACAGGGGACTCCTATAAATAGAATTTTGTAAAAAAAAAATCAAAAAGGGCAATTCGAAAATGATTTAAAAATACACTTCTGCACGATACTGGAAACTGATGCACTGTAAAACCTGACCTCGTATAATGCCACCTGCATGGCGGCAAAGTGTGATAAAAACGGCCAAAAACTTGAAAGAATTTCGCAAGGAAAGAAATAAATAAAATTTTACATCACTTATTTTATATCAGCAAATTCAACTGCTTTTGCTACTATTGTTATTATTAATTAATAAAATTAATTTGTGATTTTAAATAATTTGACATACCTGATACAACAACTGTTCAAAATTTTGTCCACCGACGTGTAAACACATTTGGATCTGTCTTACTCAGTTTCCACGAACTAACACAAATGTTGTCTTGCTTCACAATAAATTAAAACGATATCCATCAACTCCGAGTTGCTATACACGCAAGCCATTTTTGACACTACTAAAAAACTATTGTAAACACTATCGCAACGACGATTATAAAATCGGTTTTCAGTATTCGGAGTCGCTGTGGCCACGTTGCTCTCCACCCGTATTGCGAATGACGCTAGAGACTACAGTTGTCCAGCTATGTAATGCTTGAAAGTACTACAAGTTCGATAATTTTTTTCTCGGAAACTATAAGGCTTTTACAATTTTTTTTATAATATTGATTCCATTTTTCATGCTGCATTCCCAAATTTTTGTGGATAAGTTGTGAATTACCCTGTATAGTTGAAATGCAGAGCTATACGTTGTGAAATCAGTGTATAGAAGAACAAACAACAACTAATTTCTCTTGAACCATTACAAGAAGTTTATTATGTTTTGTCTTCAAAATATGTATTTTCCAAATTATTATGAGTAGCTGATTCTGTTGCATCACTAGGTGCAGGGTGTCCCAGAAAAGGGACATCGACAACACTCAGTATGTCGGACACATGCTGTTGCTGTAACTTCTAATGCTGTACTGCTTATAGTACTAGCTTCTTTAGAAAAAGTAAAACCGAGCAAATGAACTAATGCTTAAAGAGGAATATTGAAAGATTTTATCATATCATATTATATTAATTTATAATCATTGCATCACTTCAACCTATAATTTTAAAACAAATAATAACAGCAATCACAGTTAGGATCTTTCGAAAAGTATTCTTGTAAAGAAAGCTCTATAAATTAATATACCTACAAACGAAAATACCAAGATAATTGGTGCAAAATGTTTTTTTTTTCTTGATATACTTTATTTTAATTTGGTACTGGTACAAAAATATCGCAAGAAAACAGAAGATTTTGCTCTTTATATTTCTGATACTTACAATTTTATAGGAAGAAATGACAGTATCGAGCATATGAATATTCTAACATGCAAAATATTAGTTAGTATTATGGATGAACATGTAGTTATAATAAACAAATTTTATAAAATAACTTTAAATTAATAAAAATAAATAAAATAATAAAAAGTAAAATTAATATTTAGATGTCTAACAATTGACTTTTTTCAGTCAATTCGCCGGCCATCATACATCAACCGCCCTCAATATCTTCAAACAGATACCGACGGAGCAGCTCAAGTATATCAACGCGCCCAGGCACTTCCAACCACAACCCCTGCATCAGTTATCTACAAATCGAGCATATTTCCAGTCAATATAACCCCAAGACCTGTTTCGCCTACCCCAAGCGCAATAACGCAACTCCCAGCAACTACCTACAGGCCCCAACTCCTCCAAGTTGCCGTCACTCCTAGACCATCCAGTCAATACACTAAACAACTTCAATCATTCCTACCATCATCAACAGCGGCAACTCCTAGCAGAGACATAGATTTCGATAGCGAGTTCCAGAAGTTCCAGATTGAAAACAATATCGTATCGCCTACTCCAACCCCATTGGCGGGTCAAGCTGCCACAACACCAAGACCTAAACCTGCTAGTAATGCGGGGCAGATCTATTCCACAGCCTTGGTTTACGATCCAAGCTCAGGACAGTACAATAACCAGTTATACCAAACTCTGCCTCAAGCTGACGGCGATTTCCTGTTGAAGCAAAGAATACAGCCCTATGTGGCTCAAACACAGAGGCCACAAGTGAATATTCAACAACTTCGGCAGCAAAGTCCTTTGTATAATCCAAATTTGAGGCAAGCACAGTCACAGGTAAAAAGATATTCTCATATTATACAATATTTGTTTTAAAAAGCAATAAAAGCCTAAATTTAAACAATTATTTGTTGTTCCTGGTTTCACTATGCTCATTTCTAGGCAATTATTTTAATTATTACATACATATTATAGGCATAAATTGTAGTATAGTCAGACGACAAAAGGAGTTGCTATTTTTATTTAACTGGGTACTTCTGTTGCACTGAAAATAAAAATTAAAAAAAAAACTTCGAAACAATTGCTGTTTTCATTCTCAGAACTCAAACTTTAAATCACAAAGTCAAATGTGATAGTTCCTTTTTATTTTGTTTTGTACCTTCCATTGATAGACATAAAATGTCATATGTGGTATCTTCGTTTGCACTATGATTTCATGTCCTCGTCAAATAATAACCCATCGCCTTGTCAAATTTTTGAAATCCTCCGATCACAAGGTCTAGTTTCAAATCATGATTACGAAATTACTGCTAAAACGAGACGGTTATTATTTCTTATGTTATTACTTACTTCATCGTTGAGAATATACAACCAACAACTGTTAAAATTTATCACCATTCAATAATAAACGAGATTTTGCCAACATAATATTTACAAGATTCACACGTATTTTGTATCCCTTTTTTTGTAGAGTTTTTTATAAAATTGGTTTAATTTGCACACTTCCGTGGCAGTTGAACAATTTCCTAGCTGATTCCCACGTTATTAGTTTCGTTTTCTTTATATCTTGAGGGACACATCGCTCTCCTTTTCAGAAGGAACTCTAAAACTGGAGAAGTTCTCTGGTTACTATTAATAGTTACTGTGCCGCTTGTACCCCTTGTCCCAACTTGAATTATTTCAATTTTGGATTTCTGTTGCTCCCTTAAGAGATTTGGCAAAAATGTAATTCTCACCAGAATTCTGGTATTAGTTAGGTCTAACGCGTTTCTGATCTGCGTCTTGCCCTACAATTATTGATTTTCTGGATTGTTATTTTTCAAGGAACACTTGTGCTCCTTTAACGTCTTACTGACGTGTCTTCCCGTTTGTCCAATATATACTTTTCCGCAACTACACGGGATACAGAATTCACGGAAACCTTAGAGTAGATTGTTCTCGCAGCTCGTCTTGGGAAATTCTGTCCTTATCTTCCTTGATGTGTTGTAGAATATATTATTATTAGGTTTCTCTAAAATGTGGCATTTCATGTAAGTACATCGTTGCTTATATAGCAGTATCGTCAAATATTCCTCTTTTTCCTTGTTCTTAGATATCTTTCTGACTCGTTCAATATTCCTGTTCGCGTATTTATTTCCTCTAAGAACAGATCGTGTCCTGATAAGTGTCCTTGGATGGCACGAGCTCGATATAATATATGTTGACAATACTTTGTTGCTGGTCTGGATGCCAGGAAATTAGTAGTAATCTTGGAGTTTTCAAAAGCTTGACAAATAAAATATTGAAGAAGTTTCATCCGTATCATATTGAAAATCAAGCACTGTTACCGTAGCTAGGAAAGTTATTAGTGAAATTGCAGATTAAAAAATTTGGATGAATAGAATTTTGAAAAAAAAATACTCATAGTCGCAAGCTAACTTAAAATAAATACCCTTACAATATTTTTCCCGACAAAGGAACGGTATTTTACACAAAAATGGGTTTTTGCAATAACTACGCAACTTAGGTATAGGGAAGGCTATTAAAAAATTGTAGGGCCTACAGAAAGGCATCTAATGAAATCATAAAACACTGGGTGTTCTATTTGAAAAAGTCCAGATTTTTCAAATTTTAAATTATCACGTTTGGCACGATTTTTTTTGCCACCCTACCCTACCGCAGGTCAACTATTGACACGTTTTTTGAAAGAGCCATCTTCACTCTACGGTTCCTGAAAAATTTCTAGCTGTCATACAATCATAATTATGTCAACTACTAGAAGTGACGAAACATAAGAAAAAAAAATTAAAAGTCGATTATCTCGAAAACTATCAATATTTTAATAGGGATCATAACAAAAAGTCCCGTTAATTTTTCACGTAGAATTCGATGCCATAAAAAATATAGGTTTCCATTTAAAAAAATTATGTTGGTACCTACCCAGAAAAAATGTATACCCTGTATATGCTAACTTTAGAAGAGCTGATTTTGCGGGGTTGTATGGTGCATTGATGGACATTGATTGGTCATTTTTAGGAAATATAGTTGACGTTAATGTTGCACTTGATTTATTTTATGGCAAACTTTATACTATCTTCAATAGTTTTATTCCGACATTTAAAGTATTTAAACGAAAATATCCCCCTTGGTACACGGCTGACATGATTAAGAGTATTAAGAGGAAAGCACGGTGCTATAAGCAGTTTAAGAATACTGGTCGCCATGAGTTTTTGCGTGAATATAAAGAGCTGAGAGCATATATCAAGCATTGTTCTGGATTAGCTTATAATGATTATATAGTTAATGCTGAGCTTAATCTGTGTCATCATCCGGAGCAATTTTGGTCATTTATTCACGCAAAAAACCGTTCCACAAGAATTCCTGGAAGTATGAACTATAACGGTCAAACATTAAATGATCAACAAATTATTGTTAATGCGTTTGCAGAATTTTTTCACAGCGTTTATGTTGATCCCAAGATTAATAATCATACCAACGCTCTTCCGTCCTCGGCAAATTGTATTATTTCATTCAAAAGCATCACTGAGGCAGAGGTGATTGAGGCATCAAAAAGATTAAAAAATAAGTTTACCTGCGGTCCAGATGGTATACCGTCATTCATTGTTAAAGACACGGTCCGAGTTTTAATGGCTCCTTTACTGGCAATATATAATCTTTCAGTTACAACAGGAGTTTTTCCTATAAGTTGGAGAGAGGCGAAAGTGTGCCCTATATTCAAAAGTGGCGATCGCGCTGATATCACTAATTATAGACCGATCTCTATCCTCTGTAATTTTTCTAAGATTTTTGAAATCATTTTGTATAACAGGACATACTCTTTGGTTTCTCAACAAATATGTCCATGTCAGCATGGTTTCATGAAAATGAGATCAACAACCAGCAATCTGGCCGTTCTTTCTCAGTATGCATTGGAAGCGGTGGACAGTGGAGTTCAGTTCGATGTTATATATACCGACTTTGCAAAGGCATTTGACAGAATTAATCATAATATTCTTTTGCAAAAACTTTATAGCTTTGGTTTCAATTCTGATTCAGTCTTACTGTTACAATCATATTTATCCGAAAGACAACAATATGTTTTTTATAATGGTTACGGTTCTGTCAAGTATTTGGCGAAGTCGGGAGTACCTCAAGGTTCAAATTTGGGTCCACTGTTATTTTTGTTATTTGTTAATGACCTTACAACTAGTCTGAACTGTCGGAAACTAATGTATGCTGATGATTTAAAAATTTTTTCTAACATTACCTCCTTAAATGACTGTGTCGTTCTTCAAGGAGAAATAGCAAAAATTGAAGCCTGGTGTAATTTGAACGATTTATATCTAAATGCTAAGAAATGCAATATTATTAGCTTTACAAAGAAGAAATCACCTTATTGTTATAGTTACTTAATTAATCACATCAAAATTAATCGTTTGACTAAAATTAAAGACTTGGGAGTGATCTTCGATCAGGAATTATCTTTTTCATGTCATATCGTGTCCAAGGTCGATGATGCAATGAAGGCTTACGGTTTTATACTTCGCAACTGTAAATCGTTTACTAATGTCGCGTCGCTCATTATTTTGTATTTTTCGTACGTTAGAAATAAACTAGAATACTGCTCTACTGTTTGGAATCCATTCTATTTATGCCATAGAGAGTTACTTGAAAAACCGCAAAGAAAATTTCTCAAATATTTATGTTTTAAGATAGATAATGCTTATCCTGAAAGAGGTACACCATATAGGCAACTGACTGATAGATTTGGATTTCAAAGTTTAGATTTGAGGAGAAAATTAAACTCAGTCACTTTCCTCTATAAGTTATTAAATGGTCAAATTGATTGTCCTGAGCTGCTGAGTAAAATTGATTTTCATGTTCCTAGGCATAATTCTAGAAATACTGATACTTTTTATTGTTTGCGAAGAAGAACTAATTTTTTATTTAAGTCACCTATATATAATATGTGCAACTTATTTAATATGGTGTCACATCTCTGTGATTTAAATCATACCACCTTAAAGTCTATTTTATTAATCCTTTCAGGTACTGTAGATGAAGATTTCTGTTAGTTAGTTATATAAGTTGTTCCCTTTGTTTTTTTTTCCTATTTATTAGTCATTATTACTTTACATATTGTTCTATATGTAATTGTCCTATTATTGGTCTTGACTGTTGGGCAATAAAGCATTATTATTATTATTATTATTATATGCAAATATATTTTCATTTTGTGCAGCTCGGGAAAGTAGGCAATTCTGTAGAAAAAAAAATGAAGTTATATTATCTTTTATTAACCTAGATATTGGACTTACGCGCACTAGTTGGATACGGTGTATATCATTATCACATCATTTTCTAATTTTTTGTAATACAAGGTATTGTTTTTAGAATGCAAGTGCATTATTACTATTTAAAAGGATAGTAGCTAATGAATATAGGAACTACTTATTTTGATTAAGTCATTATTAAGGTGCCTGGATAGAATGTTATGAGAATTTTCTTGTTCATATGTGTTGATTGCAACGCAGCCCAAGGCACTTCTGTACCAATGGATTTAGTCTATAGATATTATGTTCTCCAATGTAGCAGAATAAATTCAATATATTTTCAATAGAATTGTAAGATCCTGAATGCGTTCATGCGGCCCCTCGAAGAGCGGTACGTCAAAGGAATTTGTTTTTTGTATTGTTTTTGTTGAACTACGTACTGGTTTATTAAGACCATCGTGCTGTTGTTGTGGCATGTCATGTTGGAATTGAACTTAATAATTAAAAAAAATTGGGATTCGACACGATAATATCTTCATAAAAAACTAGTTAGGATACTTCTATACGATGCTAGCGGTAGCGATATACAATATTCTTATACATATATTTTAGAGAGTAAAACTATTTTAAGGTTTGTTACTATCCCATATTTCTCAATATGTTAACAATTTGAAATGAACAAGATTCTTGTTACATTTCATAGTAAATTATAAATTCCATAACCTCATAGTCACATTCAATTCGATATGCATTTTTACTAACAAAAATTTGAAAATGCTCTTAAATTTACGATGTTATTCTTGAAAAATAGCAAAAGAATTTTGTTTTCAATACATATTCTGAAAGACATCTTAGTTCTCTTACTATTCATTACAATGTAATGGATGTAAAACAACAAAGAATAAAGGTTAAAGTAAAACTGACTTGCGTATAAACCTTGTCTATTTGAGGCCTTAAACGAACGATATATTTTATTATCTTGACATTCACACTTACATCTTTAAATTAGAAACCCATTTGTTAGTGGCTATCTTTATAAAACTGAAGGTGTGTAATATGTTTAATTGATATATAACTCAATTCATTTTCAGGCTGCCTACCAGGCTCAACAGGCTGAAATTCAGTTCCAAAATTCCGCTCAACTCTACGCCCAGCAGCAAAGAGCAAGAGCTCAGCAACAACAGCAGCAGCAGCAGCAGCAACAACAACAACAGCAACAAGTGAGGCAGTCTGCTGCTCCACAACCCGTCTATTATATTCAACCCTCAGCGGACCAAACTGGAGCATTAGCCACCACCCAATTAGATGCATTCCTAAGAGGGCACAACATCCAATTCTAGATGACAATGGACTATTAATCTATGAACTCGAAAAGTGTACGAATTTAACCTTTACTACGATGTTATTGTGAAAGTGTTACAGTGTTCGACAACTTAATAATACGGTCACGCCCGGATTATGTAAGAGCCGAGTATATGTGCGATTTATTTAATGATTGTAAGGTGTATCGCTGCTTCTTTTCACTTTTTAACTACGTGTTATTCATAACGAACGCCTCGCTTTCATAATTGTATTGGTTTCAGTAATTCATTCTTTTCAAGGTCGCCTTTAGACCTACGCCTCTTTATGTTGACCTTGCGCAAACGAGCAGGTTGTGGATGTAGTAGATCTATTTTTTTGCCATGTGCGTTACATTACCAAACGTTTCTTTAATTATAAAATTTTTATTATACGTGATTAAGTTATATTCACTGGCTACTGAGGATTGTTAATATTCTGTATATAACAATTAATTTTATTTTTCTAGCATTTCTCTTTTAGTAATAAGATTATCGAATTTGTATTTTTGTTATATAATTATCCTTAAATAAAATATTTAATATAAACCACAGCATTTTTTTTCGAAAATAAATAAATTATTGGTATATAATTATGGAAATATTTGTACAAAAAAGGACATATGCATTTTATGCATTTATGATTACAAAATATTTGCGATATCGTCCGCAGCTTCAAAAATTAATTTCATAATTGAAAATGTAAGATAAATACAGAAGAAAAAACGGTAATATAATATTGCCTTTAGCTTTTCTATATAATTCCTGCAAATAATAACCTTCACTTTTAATTGAATAATCTAATAACCCTGCAGATGGATGTTTGATCTAAAACATAAGTAAAATAAAAATATATATATACAGTGGTGATATGAGAAAAAAAAAACAACGAAACAGATTCTACATATCCTCATTTATAATGGATTTATTGGAACTAATTACATCGTGAATAGGAAATACGCCCATTCATGTAACAAGTTAAATGATATAAACATAGGTCACCACAGGATATATGGACACAACACATGCATACACTTTCTTTTTTTATTTCCCTGTTTACTTTCCTCTAGTTATACAAATGTGGAGTGAAATTATTCTTTGAACCTGTTACCTCTCTAATAAGCTTCCTTACGTGATTTGCTGTTATAGGCAGCAGGATCAATCCTACAACGTGGAAGTCGTTCTAGTTTAAGATTGTATGTAATAATGAAGTGGTGCAAGAGAAAATAATATACCTACATACGTTTCCATTTAATTTGCATACCTAATCAAAAACTGAATTTATTAGTTCATTTATTGACCCATTTTTTTTTCAGAAATGCTACAAAAGTTCAATTCAATATGATAGAAAACTACTACTAAACAAAATATCAAAATAAAACATAATTATGAATAGGTGTGATTGGGTAAATTGGAGTCCTTTTTAGTTTTGTATAAAGAATTATTTTACCTGGGAAGGAAAATAAAATATGTAGTCTTATACTGAATTAAAAAGGACTTCATTTATCCGATTACATCTGCCATCATTCAGTATTACAATAGATTTTAATCAAAAAGAAATAACTATAAATTATTTATTTTTTATATAAAGAAATATATAAACATTTATAGCGAAGCATATAAAATGACACCGTAAAATAGGATATTGTTTTCTTAGAGTTCCTATACAGGGTGTTTCAGTTCGGGCGAATCAAATTTTAACCATAAATAGAACTCAATAAATAATTCAGAATTGCCATATAAAGCAAGGGTATAAGTCTCACCGTTTCCACTGTACAGGGCCGTATTGGTCGGTTTTTAAAATCATATTATTTATGAAGTCTTTGGTATGCTTATAACAAATTCATGTGATTTAGTGTGATGTTAACATTTACACATGTGCATAATTTACTGTAAAATTTACAATAGGCCAGTGGTAGGAATGGGTAGTAAAGTGAGATTTTTTACCTCAACTTCTACGCCAATGACCTAGTATTCATTTGGGATTCATTTTTAGATTCTACATAAAAAAGGTATATTTGTTGAAAATCGGTATAGTGTATCGTTTTACCGAAAATCTCAGTTCGATGGGAGACTGATAAGAAAGACTTGAATATTTATCAATTTTTCAAACTAATATTTCAAATCTTAAAAATAAAATGACAGTTTCTGATGACAGATTGTTGCTTAGTTTTGTTTTCATGGATATTGTAATGGACGCACAGCGCAGATTTGAAATTAATATGTAGGAGTAATTTTCTAAAGAAATTATATGTTTGAAACAAACGGACCGTATGAGCAAGGATACCTAAAATTGTTTCAGAATAGCACAAATCAAATTTTAGAGGAGGCACCATTAAATATACTGTCCACCGCACTGTAGCGCAACTAGGGTTTCTGGTCGAGTCGTCTCGAAGCGAGAATTCCCGGGAAATCTGGCCTTACTCGAGACGAGAAAAAAGTGTCGAGAAATCGAGAAATCGAGAAATTTAAAAATCACGCTCGTCTTAAGTTCCTGACTGGAGTTCGTTTCGTTCATGCGTTCAATTCGTTTCTCGACAAATAACTGAGCGGTTAAAGTGGTTTCTCTACCAGCTCATGATTTATTTATTTTAAGTTTTTAAGGCTTTAGTTTACTTTGTGATGATTCTTATTTTTTTAATGTACAGGGTGATTCACTATATTTTGACCCCCCTTTAACTTTTTAGTTTTAAGAGTTATAAAACAATGTGAAATACAAAAGTTGCACGATTTTTTATGAAGTTTTCGAAAATAATAGTAGAAAAACAAATGAAGTTCAAACAAAATGACCGCGGATGGTAACTTTGTTAATTTAAATGGAACACCCTGTATATTTTTACATATTTGGATAGAACGTTTCTTGTCGAGCACAGTCATATAGGGTTTGTTGGCTCCATCTCTAATAATATGCGAGATAATATTAAAAAACGAAATGATGTTTTTTTATTAAGAAAATAAGACATCTTGTAATTGTTAGACCTCTTTCAGGTATTTCTGCCTTTTTTCAAATTACGTAAGGATTTAGATTTAGTTGTAATATATTTTGACATATCGGACATTGATATAGTCCAAAATGCGTATAGGTATTTTAAGTAAATCTCACTAATTAGACCGTGTGGGGCACTCATGGACAATCTTATATATGGTAGGTCGTGACAGTGACAGTGACAGGTAGTAATGTCATGATAACATTGTTATTGTTTGACAGTTTGTATTAGTATTTAATTAAAATGGGTTACACAGAAGTAGAAAATTGAAATATTATTAGGAATTAAAATAAACTATGGAGAATATCTTAACTACTCTATCTTAATTCCTATAATATTTAAATTTTCTACTTCTGTGTAACCCATTTTAAATAAATAATAATACAAACTGTCAAACAATAACAATGTTGTCATAATATTTTACCTGTCACTGTCACGGCCTACCATATAACATTCTCCATGAGTAAATAAGCCCCTCACGGACTAATTAGTGCGATTTAGTTAAAATACTTATACCCATTTTGGACTATATCAATGTTGGATATGTCAAAATATATTGCAAATAAATCTAAATCCTTACGTAATTGGAAAAAAGGCAGAAATGACCGAAAAACGTCCAACAATTACAAAATATTTTATTTTCTTAATAAAAAACGTTCTTTTCGTTTTTTAATATTATCTCGCTTATTGTTAGAGATGGACCCAACAAACCATATATGACTGCTCGATAGGGAACGTTCTATCCAAATGTGTAAAAATATACGGGGTGTTCCATTTAAATTAACAAAGTTAACATCCGCGGCCATTTTGTTTGAACTTCATATTCGGAAATTTCATAAAGAATCGTGCAACTTTTGTATTTCACATTTTTTTATAACTCTTTAAACAAAAAAGTTAAAGGGGGTTCAAAATATAGTGAATCACCCAGTACCTAGTTTTAAGTCTATGTAGAAATTTTATTATAAGCAGATACCTAATGAATTGATGTTGATTATGAAAATATTTAGTTCCTCTTCCTTTAGTTGATTATTTTATTTTTGTTTTGTTAATTAAAAGATTGTGATTATAAGTGATAAATTAATAGGAAGAACGCTTCTGTATCTTTAAATTAAAGCTTGTTTTTTTAAGATTTCTTCGGTTAAATTCCTTATTTACTATTTGTTTAATTAAAAGACTGCATGATTAATGATTATTAATAATTGTTATTGGAAGAAAATTACGATTCAAAAGCATTGAAATAAACATAAGTATATTGAGTGTTTAATAAAAAAATAAGTTAAAGGTTTTTAAGAAGAAACTCAAAGTTTAGTTTAGTTTTGTTAGTAGAAGTAGAAACATAAGAAGTTAATAAAAATACTGAATAAATAATAAATGTTAATGATGATTGTTGAGTATAATAGCATGTTTATATTTCGCATTTCAATACCAAAATTATGACTTTTAAGTTTTAGAAATTTCTCGAGAATTCGAGAATTCCCGGGAATTCCTAGTCGAGAATTCTCTAGACCCGAGAAAAAAAGTAGGCTGAGAAATCAGAAACCCTAAGCGCAACAAAAAAAATGGACTCAGAGGGGCAATTCGCCACATTACGAATGCAATAAATAATACACAAGAGATTATATTTAGAATTTACCAGTCGTTTTGCCGATGTAGAGACATATTTAATATTGTTTTGCATTCTAAGTTAATACGTGACATTATAATAATATTAATTTAAAAATTTTTTCTTATCCTCAAGAAACTAAATTTCTTATCAGAAGAATGGTTTCCCATTCAACTAATTGTAAGATTTTCAGTAAAACAATAGGTACACTATACCGATTTTCAATAAGTATGCCTTTCTTATGTAGAACTGTCCACGGAATCTAAAAATTAATCCCAAATGATTATTAGGTTATTGGCGTAGAAGTTGGGGTAAAAAAGTTGAAGTGAGAACAGTGTGCAGATAGGTAGCAAGACGATCGACGGGCAGTGTGTCAAAATATTCTTTAAGTACTTTGTTGTTAATTGTTCTATGTAATCTTATGATTGTAATGGTTATATATGTTTCATGATAATAATTCTTTGTACGTTTAGCTTCCATTGCTTTAAGCTCAAGGGCATATATTTTTCTAAAGTAAAATTGTTATAATTATTATTAACGATTGCTCATTATTTATTTCATGTTAAAATATATATATTGTCATAACTGCCAGACATTACAATAACGACTTCTTTGTTTCACATCTAACTTGTTTTTGTCATGATTACGTTGTACGAAAAACATAGATATTTCATCATAATAATTCTGTATATGTTTAGCCTTCATTGTCTTACGCTCAGGGACGTATATTTTTCTAAGGTAAAATTGTTACTATTATTATTATAGATTGCTCATTATTTATTATATGTTAAAATGTATATACATTGTCGTGACTGCCCGGATATTGCAAAAACAACTTCTTTGTTTCACATTTAACTTGTTTTATCATGATTACGTTGTTCTTTGATTTCTTGTGCTCACTTTATGTCATACGCATGTAAGAGCTTTGTTGAATTTACTAAC